TAACTAATTATGTAAGTCAGTGGATTATGTTTTTAGAATAAGTCTTAATGTACACTCGTGTACATTAAGACTCCTCTCACAATGGAGTGTGGGGTTCGCGATTTTTAAATTGCGGGCCCCCACCATTGTGAGAGGTAGAAGTGTCAAGACGGACGGGTCGGTCAGACCCGTGAAAATCGGCCCGGAAGGAACATAAGCTTATTTATCATCATTACGATCCTTAACTCATTCATGATCTAAAATACTAAATTGAATATAAATGTAGAAAAAAATTCAACTGTGTGAACTCGAGCTATATTTTAAGCNAATATAAAATTAATGATGATGTTACTGAAAATTTCAAAAATCTTATAGTTCATAAAAGTTGATTGAGAAACAAATATATAATTTTTCAACAACTAAATTATATTTAATAGTTAAGACTTAAGTAGGTGACAAGTTAGTTGGGATGTACTTAAATTATAAATTATAGTAAAAGTAGGTGTCAACCTAGTTGAGATGTACTTTGCTATAAATATATACATTCACGTAATTAGAAATGCATTTAGTTGTTAAATTTCAATTATTAAATTTGAATTCTATGTAACATTTCTTGGTATAAATATGAATTTATCATTTTCATCGATTTTTAGTTTACATTTAACACAAAAAAAAATTGCTATCAATATAAAAATTTTTGGAACAACCCGCGACCCGGATGGGTCAACGGGAAGACCTGGGTTGTAGTCCAAAATTTGTGGGCCGACCCGTAATCGGCCCGGAACCCGTAGCGGGCGGGCTTTTTTTCATGCTGACCGTTACCAGACTCATATGTTGGCGGGCCGACCCGGATTGACACCTCTAATGAGAGGGGTGTAATGCATGATGTACACCCAAGTGTGTACATCAAGCATCTCTCATGTTTCTAACTAAATTATACTAAACTAATCTACTCTATAAAAGGTTAATTAGTCTGTGAAGACATTTTGGGATTAAGTAGTAAGGAATTATGATTCACTTAAGTTATTTAACATTTATCTATCCAAATTCATTCATCCAATTTTTCATTATGTATTAATAATCGAATTAATTAATTTTAGTTAGTTAATCTTCAGCAAAACTAACCATGTTCACATGCTCTGATTTTCTCTGTAAATTCATACATATGTAAAAGCATTCAAATTTAATAATTCAATTATGATTGTATAAACTATAAAAGTATCTCTCGATCTCTTATCAAAATTTATGTTACTTAATTCACAAACTAAACAAATGTATGTCCCTTGGATCTCACTATTGTCCTTAAGCCATGCGATTGGTGATCAAATAATTGAATATCAATTAAGCATATAATAAGCAATTAACATATAATCATATTGACAATTGAATTAAACAAATATTTGCTTAAGCTACATCATTCATCCTTATAATAATAATAATAAATTAGTATATCTTAATACTGAAAATAAATATCAAAAGGATAAAAAAATCACTGGGTCCAATACAATAATAAAGGAACTAATCCAATCAACAGTTGTTCTTTAGCACCCAAATTCCAACAAAGGTCTTCAATTCTTCATTGATTGGTTGTATATTTCACAGTCAATTGTGTTATTTAATCTTCAAATCTCAAATTTATGTATACATCTTGAGGAATTTATGTTTATGGATGTTTAATTTAACCTCAAGAATGTGTCACTAGCCTCCTCCCTTTGTTTTTCTAATTTCGTGACTAGGAGTGAAAGGAATTGGCATTTGATCAGAAGTAGGAGTTTAGAAAAACTGCACTTCGGGCCCCTAGACTTTGAAGTGTGCGATTGCACAGGTATTGGGCTGCGATCGCATTGTTCTGAAGATTTGGGACTGTTGCTGCAAATATCGAATTTCTTTTAATTGCTCAGTCCATGCCCCTCATTTATTTGCTCTGCAAGTACTTCAACGTCCAAAATTAATATCTTGGTCCCTAATTTCAGATTAAATCTCTTGTTCATTTCGTCCTTCTCGTCTGAATATTAATTTTCTCATAAAATAATTAATTAACAAGTATAATTAAGTATCGACTTCATCATAAATAGGGATGACAATTCGAACTATT